GCGGATGAGGGATATCGTCCCGGTCTCTCTCCGTCGTCATCAAACAATGGACTAACTCCAGGGTTGACGGCGGGTCCTGGAGCGGAACGAGCTACCGCCGATAGCAGAGAAAAGTCGGGAGCCGGAGGAAACTCCGCTGCTCCCAAGCGCAACACTAAGCGCAACATCAAGGGGAAGGTGAGAGGCCAGGCCAACGCTCGGACGAAGGCCAAGCAGGAACCCTCACAGGACGGTGAAACCAACACCGAGGACGAGGAACAGAAGGAAATACGTAGGCCCAGGCCTCCGAGGACCGTTAAGAAGTCCGCGCGAGGACCGGCCTGTGTGAGCGACAGGACCTCGCGGTCACTGTCGCGGGCGCGGGTTGGATCTGACGCCCCCCTGAGCGGTGACGAGAAGGCACTCTTCTCCATCCCCTCCACAGGGAAAGTGACAGACCTTAATGCTCTGAAGGAACGAGCTTTGGCGTATTTAACGCAGCCTAGAGTCTGCCTGTCCAGGGTGCAGTCCAAGGATTCATTGAATGAGATTTCGGACGGGGAAGACAAAGATGAAGATGAGGTCATGGCCTCGGCCGAATCGGAAGGGTCCACCGTGAGCAAGAGGGACAGGCCCGAAACCACGGGAGAGTACAGGAAGAAACTAGCCCGGCTGGAGAAGGAGGCTGAAGAAGCCGAACAGAGAAGGGTGATGAACCTGGAGAACCCAACAGTGCCGGCACACTTATCTAGAAGTAGGAGGGTCCGGGAAGCCAAGCTGGTAGAGGAGCTTAGACACGCTCCCACCAGGGATCTCCCTAACAGGATCCTGGAGGCGGTCCGCAAGATCGACAAAGTAAGTTCGATTGCGGGACATCTCAGGGGAGCGGACCAAGGGCAACTCAACGAGGCAGCTGCCACCATCTCGGCAGCTGTAAATCACTTGGTGAGTCGCAATTCTCCTCAAGAGCGAATGGAAAGAGACGTGGAGCTGGAGGAGCTCCGTTCCAGACTATCCGCGATGGAGTCGGACAACGCCAAGCTAAGGAAGATGCTTGAGGAGTTGTCCAAAAGGAGGGAAGAACAGATGGAAGTGGAGGCGTCGGGAGATGTCCTCCTCACACCATCTCACAACAAGGATAAAGGCGCTAGAGGAAAGAAGACGAATAACCACGGTGTCTTCCCCCCTGATCGAGAGGAAGCTGAAAAAGCGGTCTCTGAAGCCAACCGCCAGAGAATTGTGAGGGAACTAGAGAGGGACGGAATGCCGGCGGCAATTAGGCCGACACTCGGTGGAAAGGCCGCTCTGATAGATGCAGCGGTCCCACCCAGGACGGACGAATCCCTCCCGATTCCAGTCTTGGCGTCGTCATCGTCGCTGCCCGTGAAACTCGCGGAGGCGTCGGGATTGACGCTGGAACGACAGATAGAGGAGAGAGTCTGCAGATCTGTCCTCAACGCAATGGACGACAGATTTGCGAAGATGGAAAAGATGCTGACCAGGCTGGGAGGAGCTCCAACAGTGGGGACCCTTCCATCAAGGAAGGAGACGAACGCGAAGACAGGAAACAAGGGCCAAACCCTTCCCCCCAAAACCACGTTCGCTGGAATCGTGAAGAAGGGAGCAAACGCCGGGGCCAAGGCGCCAGCCGGAGGGGCGGCAATTGCCGCTACCGCCGTCACCGCCAAGGCTAAACAGACGACGAAGACTGCCCCTACCCAGAAACCCAATGCCTCAATCAACCGCACCAGCAGGGCAACAGACCACTCTGAGGCCTGGACGCTGGTGTCTAACAAGGGCAAAGGGAATAAGAAAGGGAAGCAGCAGCGGCAACAACAACAGGAGCCGCAAGGCCAAACGACGAAGAAGGCCAAGGGCAAGGGTGAAAAAGCCCAAACCAGGGGTACACCTGTGCCCAAGGGAGCGGCACCCAAACAGCCCGCTAAACAAGCACAGGGTGTCAAGGCCAGCAACGGTGCCGCCGGAGCCGGGAGAAGGAAGAGGTTACCGCGATCCGCCGCGGTAACACTCACGAGCTTGGACGAGAAGTATGAAGAGCTCATGAAGGAGGCCAGAGCCCACATCAATCCTACGGAGTTGGGAATCACGGAGGGTCTCCGGCCTAAAAGGGCACAAACAGGAGCCCTCATCATAGAAGTGCCGGGACAGGACGGCGCGAGCAAGGCTGATTTGTTGGCCGATCACCTCGCCCGTCTCTTCGAGGGACGCCCCGGCGTCAAGGTCTCCAGGCCAATTAAGACCGGGGAAGCCAGGGTCCTTGACCTGGAGGATTTTATCGCGGAGGATGAACTAGCCTCCGTGATAGCGGAGGCTGGGGGTTGCGCGATCACACAGGTACAGATCGGCCCCCGGCGTAGAGGAACGAACGGACTGTTCACAGCTTGGGTTCGTTGTCCACTCGCAGCAATCAACGCCATCCAGAGGCTGGGTGGCAAACTGCGAGTAGGCTGGTTCGTGGTCAGGGTGCAGGTGCTGGAGAGCAAGCCCCTCCAGTGCTTCAAATGCTTGGAGGGAGGCCACATACGCTCACAGTGCACCAGTACCGCCGATCGTAGCACGAGGTGCTACAGGTGCGGAGACGAGGGACATGTGGCCAAATACTGCGATGCCGCGTTGAAGTGCCCGGTCTGCGCCGATCGCGGGGTCCCGGCGGGCCACCGGGCGGGCGGGAAAGCCTGCCCCTCGGCCAAACGTAAGGTCAAGCCGGGCAAGAAGGTCGGCACAAGAGCGGGAGCAGCTGCCCCCACTAGGAAACAAGGGGAGAGAATGATGGACGTGGACAATGAGCCCGAACAGTCCCGTCCGCAGTTAAGAATAACTGGGGTTGAGAACGTAAACATCCCGTTGGGAAAACTCCCCATTAAGAGGTCCGCCACAACGGAGGACAACGAAAACGGGGGAAAAGAGGAGAAAAAACCCCAACCTCAACGTAAGAGACAGAATAAGGGGAAATTACCGTCGGATGAGCAGGAGTGGCAGGAACATCCCCTGCCTCAGAGCCAACAACAGCGGCAGCGGTATGATGGTGGTGCCGATGCCGCTGTGAACGGTTCGACGGAGGAGACGGAGCAAGTCCAAGAGCTGACGCTGAGGGAGGGAGATCCGGTGGTGGCGCTGGAAGCGATGCCCCAGCTACCGGCGCCAACCCCGACTGGTCCATCCGTGAGTACGGACCAGTCGGCGACCGTACCGCCGATATCGTCACCTGCAGAGACAGGAACGGGAGGAACAGAGGAAGGGAGCTCTGGATCAGAGACCCGGTAATGCCCCTCCAACGCCTGTTACAGGCAAACTTGAACCACGCCCGCGCTTCCCAAGATGTGTTTCTCCACACGATGGCGGAGCGCGGGTGTGGGCTAGGAGTGGCGGCCGAGCCGTATTGGGTGCCGCCCGATCATTCTCTATGGGCGGGCAGCCGGTGCGGCTTGGTCGCAATAACATGGAGGCAGACGGACGAGCCTGTTGCCTGTTCCCGGGTGGGGGCAGGTGACGGGTTTGTCATCGTCAAATGGGGTCGAGTCCACGTTGTGGGGGTATATATTTCCCCCAACGTGAATGTAGCCACATTCGAGGGGACACTCGCAAACCTAAAGGCGAGCCTGACAGGGATCCTGCCCGCGCAGCAAATCCTGGTGGCCGGGGATTTCAACGCCAAATCGGCGTTGTGGGGCTCCCCGGTCACGGACGCGTGGGGCGGGATCCTAGAGAATTGGGCGGTGGGCCTGGGACTGATCGTTCTCAACAGAAGCACGGTCCAGACCTGCGTGAGGCATCGCGGGGGCTCTATAGTGGATCTCACGTGGGCGTCCCCCGCCATTGCACGCAGGGTCGAGGGATGGAGGGTGGCCGAGGAGATTGAAACGCTCTCCGACCATTTGTTCGTGGAGATGAGTCTCCCGGTCGCCCTCCCGGAGGTCCGGGCCCGCCGCATAGAGGCGGAGAACCGCTTCCCGAGGTGGGCCCACAGGACGATTGATGGAGACATGCTGAGGGCCTCCGTCAATACTTCGCTGTGGGTAGACGACTTCTTCGTCAACGTCGAGGAGAAGAACGTGGATGAGATAGCCGCGAGGATCGGGGCAATCATGAAAGACGCGTGCGACGCGAGCATGCCCCGATCCCGGCCTCGTCCGCGCAAAGCGGCTTATTGGTGGACGGAGATCGCGGAACTCAGGCGCTCCTCCGTCCACGCAAGACGCGAATGGTTGCGTGCCAGACGGACGCAAGACACGCAACCGAGGCGTATGGAAGAGGCGGGAATAGAGTATCGCTCCGCCAGGCGGCTCTATTCCCAGGCGATTAGACGGGCCAAGGACAGGGCCTGGCAGGAGCTCCTGTTAGATCTGGACCGGGATCCGTGGGGGCGCCCCTATCGTATGGTCCTCAACAAACTGAGGACCTGGGCGCCCCCAGTAACGGAGTCCATGGCACCCGAGTTCTTGGAGGAAGTCGTTGACGCCCTCTTTCCCGACGACCCCGGGGAGAGGACGGGCGGCGGTCCCGCTCCCCCTGTAGTGGGACGAGGAACTCGAGGTGACCATGGGCGAGATGAAAAAGGCGGCCAAACGGCTGAAAGCCGGAAAGGCCCCCGGTCCGGATGGAGTTCCTGGCACAGCGTGGTCCTTGGCCACGGGGGAACTGGCCGAACACCTGAGGCGCCTATACACCGAGTGCCTCAGGACGGGCCGGTTTCCCCGCGCCTGGAAGGTTTCGCGATTGGTCCTCTTCCCCAAACCGGAGAAGCCCGCCGACCAGCCGTCGGCATACAGGCCAATCTGCCTGCTGGACGAGGTCGGCAAGCTCTTCGGATAATTGCCGACCGAATCGCCCAGCATTTGTCCCGGAGGGGGCCTGATTTGTCTCAGGCCCAATACGGCTTTCGAGAGGGCAGGTCGACGATCGACGCAATCAAGCGGATCGAGGCCCTCTCGAAGGCCGCGGCGGAGGGCTGGCAGGGTGGTGCTTGGCACCAGTTTCGACATTGCCAATGCATTTAACACCCTGCCATGGCCGGTGATAAGGGGGGCGTTGATTTATCACAACGTTCCCCCTTACATAATAGCGGTACTTTTTGACTACCTCCGGGACAGGCCTACGTCGACCAAGACGGCGTCGTTCAGGTCAGGCTGGTCGTGCGGGGGGTTCCGCAGGGGTCGGTCCTAGGACCACTCCTGTGGAACTTGGGGTATGACCATGTACTCCGAGTCGCTCTCTTCCCAGGCTGCTGGCTTAACGGCTTCGCAGATGACACCTTCTTGGGAGTCGAGGGCGACACGTGGGAGGAGGCAATCGCGAAGACGAAAGTCGCAGTGGGGATGGTCGTGGCAGCGATGAAGGAGGCAGGGCTGAGGGTGGCTCCCCAAAAGACACAGATAGTGTTCTTCTACGGCAAGAGGAGGGGGAAGCCGCCCCCAGCCCACATCGAGATCGAGGGAACCCGTGTCTCCGTGGGGGCTGAGATGAAAGTCTTGGGCCTCTGGTTGGATGGCACCTGGAGCTTTGGCGGGCATTTCGCCCGCCTGACCCCCAAAGTCAAGACTACGGCGAACAGCCTAGCCAGGCTTATGCCGAATCTGGGGGGAGCGAGCGGACATGCTCGCCGTCTATACGCGACGACCGTGCACGCCGTGGCACTGTATGGTGCCCCTGTCTGGGTGCAAGCGGTGAAAGGCTCGGTCCGCTTGCGGACGCAGCTGCGTCAGATGCAGCGGACCATTGCCCTTAGAGTGTCACGAGCATACTGCACGGTCTCGTACGCGGCGGCGACGGCCTTGGCGAGGCTCCCGCCCTTAGAACTCGCGGCTCAACAGTGCGCCGAAGTCTATCGGCGCACGCACGAGTTGCGGGCCAGGGGGGTCCGGATCACGCCGAGGATTCGCACCGCGATTAGGCTCCAGGAAAGGACGGCCATGGTCGAGCGTTGGGGGGCGTCGCTCATCAACGCCGAGTTCGGCCAAAGGACCGTCGACGCCATCCGACCCTGGCTACCCGAATGGTTAGCCAGTCGGAGATACGGTGTAACGTTCCACGCGGTGCAGATACTAACAGGACATGGTTGTTTCGGGGTGTATCTGCACCGCATAGGCAAGGAGGCCACGACCCGTTGCCACCACTGCGACGAGGATAGGGACACGGCGCAGCATACGCTGCAATACTGCCCTGCGTGGGCGGGGCTGCGCCGTGTCCTGATAGAAGCTATCGGGCCGGATCTCTCCCTCTCGGCGATTGTGGCGGCAATCGTCGAGAGGGAAGAGAAATAAAGGGCCTTCACCCAGTTTTGCGGCAGGGTGATGGCCTCCAAGGAGGAAGCCGAGAGAATCCGCCGGGGGGAGATAGACCCCCCCCTGGCGGCGGATCTCTCGCAATAATAGATTGCTGGATGGACGGGTCACCACTAGACAAGTCCATCCAACCGCGGGTATTAACGCGGTTCAGCGCCGCTATAAAACAAGCGGCACGAGACAGTGCTGTACCTCCGGGGATCCTCCCCGACGGGGGGACGCCCCGGAGGACGGAAGGTTCGGCGTCTCGGCGGGAGAACGGGGCGTCGAACCACCTCCCATAAAACAACGGGAGGAGTGACGGGGTGGCTGGTGTCCCCACTCCGTCACACATTCGATATCTGGCTCATATGAGTCGAGAGCTTAGCTCTTAGGTGAAGGCCCAATTGGGCCAGGCGTCGGGGGGCGTCCGGATGCAGTAATCACAAGTTCCCGGATCACAAGTCTCCCAATAGACGCAGAGTAGGACACTCGATGGGTTTTAGTGGATAGGTCACGTGTCACGCGGTGCCTTGGGGGCAGGCCCTTTCAGGGGTATCCCCCATAATCGACACCCGTGCGCGTGGAATCCCACACTCCCCTCGTCCTCTCCCCGGAGGGCGAGGGGGTCTTCCCCCTCCTAGACACAGAGGGGGCTGCCGGGCCACATACCAGACCTGCCAGTCAGGTCTGGGAACCCGGCAGGAGAAGATTTCCCATCGTTAAAAAAAAAAGTTAGGTTAGGTTAGGTTGTGACCGAACGATGCATAATCGGGCCACGGGGTACGCTATTTTGTCCTATTAGTCATCGGTCGCCACTCGGTTTAACCTTTATATACCGAGAAGGTAGGTATTCGTAATGA